TAGCAGCTGTTTTCCTGAACTCCCACTATGATGTGGGCACTAGGCCAGGCATTTTACTTCCTCTAAAGTTTCTACAAGGGGCTTCCCTGGTGGCTCAAATGGTAAAGAATCTACCTGCAATGCGGGAAATCTAGGTTCGATCCCTGGGTCAGGAAGATCCCCTGAAGAAGGAAATGACTACCCACTCCAGTTTCTACACAGCAACTCCAGGAGGGAGGGGTTATTACCAACCCCTTATAACAGACAAGGAAACTGAGGCTCAGAGCTGTTACTTGATTTACCCGAGGTCACTGTTATGGCCATATTGAAGCCCCAAACCCTAGTTCTTGAGAATTACCTTATTTGGAGGTAAGGTCTCTGTGGGTGAATGCTAGTCATGTCAGTCATGTCTGACTCTATGCTACCCCCATGGACTGTAGCCTGCCAGACTCCTCTGTCCATGGGATTCTCCAGGCAAGAATACTAGAGGGGGTTGCCATTTCCTCCTTCAGGGGATCTTCCCATCCCAGGGATCAGACCTGTGTGTCTATGTCTCCTACATTGGCAGTTGGGTTCTCTACCACTAGCGCCACCTGGGAAGCCCCAGAGTCTCTGTAGAGGTGATCAGATGTAAATAAGATCTTTGGGGTGGGTCCTGACCCCATAAGATTGCCCTCTTCATAAAAGGGGGAAATTTGGACAGAAATGTGCACAGATGCAGACCTAAAGGCAGAGATCGGGGTGATGCACCTACAAGCCGAGGAATGCCAAGATTGCCAGGAAACCACCAACAGCCAGGGGAGACACGAGAGACTACCTCACAACCTGCTGACGCTGTAATCTTGGGCTTCTGGCTCCAAAACTGTGAGACAAGAAACTTCTGTTGCTTCATCCACCCAGTTTGTGGTGTTTTGTACAATAGCCCTCAGGGGACTGATACAGTCTCACAGCTGCTAGGGGTGGGCCCCTGGTGGAGCTCTGAACTGTCCAACTAAAGGCAGCCTCTGACCACGTTTCTATTACTCCTCTGGGCCAGGTGCCCTAGCACCCAGCAGGTCCTTTAAAGCAAGAATTTGGCTGACAAAGGTCCGTCTAGTCAAGGCTATGGTTTTTCCAATGGTCATGTATGGGTATGAACTTTGCACCATAAAGAAGACTGCATGTCAAAGAATTCATGCTTTTGAACTGCGGTGCTGGAGAAGACTCTTGAGGGTCCCTTGGACTGCAAGGAGATCAAACCAGTCAATCCTAAAGGAAATTAATATTCCCTGAATATTCATTGGAAGGACTGATGCTGAAGCTGAAGCTCCAAACTTTGGCCACCTGATGTGAAGAGCCTACTCAAAGGAAAAACCTTGATGCTGGGAAAGATTGAAGGAAAAATGAGAAGGGGGCGACAGAAGATAAGATGGTTAAATAGCATCACTGACTCAATGGACATGAATTTGAACAAACTCCAGAAGATAGTGGAGGACAGAGGAGCCTGGAGTGTTACACAGTCATGGAGTTGCAAACAGCTGGACATGACTTAGTGACTGAACAACAACAACAAATTACGATTATTACTGTGGTATGACCCTGTCTTATGGTCCCAGGAAGACGGAGGGTTGGGCTATTGATGATAATTAAATATCATCTCTGGGCCCCTCTGCCCTGTTTCCCAGCACCCCATCATGCTTCTCAGAGGTGGGAACAAGAGGACCTTGGAGATTCACCATCGGGTGCTGGGGTCTGCCCAGCACACTTTCCTTCACATGGTTCCCTGGGGAAGTCACGTGGTTGATCACACGCAGAGCATCAAGTGCTATCAGCAGCTCTGCCACGTTCCAGGGATTCTTCAGCCCCATGTGGGACCCAGGGGAGCGTGCAGTCTGATGAGAGCCTGGGCTGCCATCACACAGGATAGCTTTGCACCCCACCCACCCCCCATGCAGAATAACCTACCCTCATGTAGGTACATTATTCTTGAATCCTATGTCTCAGCAAGTGCCCTCGCCAGGCCCAGGGCTGCTTCCTCCAAAATCTGCTGCCAGATGGAGCATGTTTGCCTCCTGGTAGGAGGACAGGGCAGCTCAGGATGATCACCTCTAAGAGATCCTCCCAGGTCTCCTGCTTCCAGGAGACAGATCGGATCCTCCTCCATCTCTGGGACTCAGTAAACATCTGTCAGCACCCACCACGATCCTAACACTGTTGTAAAGGAGCCCCCAAATGCCCCTGATTTCAGGGAATTTGTAGTCAAGAAAGAGAGAATGACCAGTTCATTTCTTTTGGTATTTTTCTTTGCTATGTTATCAAATGCTAAGGCCAGATCTCACAAATTTTCCAGCCAAAATCCAGAAATAAGTGGTAGAAAAATAACCAAGGAGGGACTTCCCTAGTGGTCCAGTGGTTAAGAATCTGCTTTGCCATGCAAGGGATGCAGGTTTGATCCCTGGTTGGGGAACTAAGATCCCTATGCCACAAAGCAACTACACCTGCACGCAGAAACTACTGAGAATACACACTCACTCTGGAGCCTGGAACTAGAGAGTCGGTGTGCCGCAATAAATAAATAAATATTAAGAAAAAAAAAGAAAAATAACCAAGAAGAAATCCCTACACCATAAAATAAAAACTAGAAACACAGGTTGCAGGGAGGGGCTGGATTGGGGGAGGGGTGGAACATGACCAGCCTTTTGTTTTCTTTATTGTTTGAGAAAAAGTAACACATGTTCACTGTAATAAATAAGAAAATTGAGATAACTAGTGGGAACCTACTGTATAGCACAAGGAGCCCAGCCCAGCACTCTGTGGTGACCTAGAGGGGTAGGATGGTGGGGGTGGGAAGGAGGGGACATATGTATGCCTATGGCTGATTCATTTTGTTGTATGGCAGAAATAAATGTGTATGTGTGTTAATCACTCAGCTGTGTCTCTTTGCGACCCTATGAACTGCAGCCCTCAAGACTCCTCTATCTATAGGATTCTCCAGGCAAGAATACTGGAATGGGTTGCTATGCCCTCCTCCAACCCAGGGATTGAATCCATGCCTCTTACATCTACCTGCATTGGCTGGTGGGTTCTTTACCACTAACGCCACCTGAGAAACCCAGATTATTAAGCTACTCAATTAGTAAATTAAATTACTGGGCTTTGCAGGTGGCACTAGTGGTAAAGAACCGCCTGCCAATGCAGGAAATGTAAGAAATGCAAGTTCGATCCTGGGTTGGAAAGATCACCTGGAAGAGGGCATGGCAATCCACTTCAGTATTCTTGCCTGGAGAATCCTATGGACAGAGGGGCCTGGTGGGCTACAGTCCATAGAGTCACAGACAGTCAGACATGACTGAAGTGACTTAGCACTTATAGACCTAATGGCATAATCATGTAACATAAAGTCCAAACCAAGATGCTTTTGAGCATGAACTGGGTGGAGTTAAACCAGATGGTGGACGCTGATGGAGAGTCTGGACACCCACATCTTAGAAGGAGTCATGAGAGGGGACCAGCTAAAGCTGAGTTGGATATAGATCAACAACTGAATACATCTTTCTGAGTGTTTCATGTATTTCCAAGCAGGTGATGGGAGGCCCTGGGGCAGGAGACACCTCAGGCTGGGATCTGAGCTCCCCTAAGCTCGGAGCCATCAGCCTTCACATCTGAGCAACTCCTGAGGAGAACATGGGGTTTCAGAGGTGACCGAGTTCCCAGGCTTTGGGTAAAACTTGCACATCCCCCTCAAGATTATCTCCTAGTTTTGCTTTGAAAATTCCAGAAGGACCCTGAGCAGTGATTCAAGTTTCACCTGCTTGTTTGCTCTGGTCTTAGAGATTCTCCAGAAATCCAGGCTGTGGAGCAAGGACAGGGTAAGGAAGACCAGGTGGGCTGGCCGGTAGGAGACAAGCTACCCCTGTGAGTGAGCCCAGAAGAAATTGCGCGCTGCCCCACTTCCGTTGCACCCTCCCCCACATCCCCTTTCAGCCTCCCTCGTGGCCTCCATCCTCCTTTACCCAAGCGGCCAGTCTGCAGAGGGATGTTCCCCAACTTCCAGGATCCTGCTGTCCAAGAGCGACCAGGGCACCGCCCTCTCAGGTTCCACGGCAGCTTGACTGCAGGTGTTTCGAGCACCTATGCTGCGTCAGACACTGGAATCACAGCAGCAGCAGCAGCAGCAGCAGTACTATAGCCCAGTTTGCCCAGGCTTCCATCCCCATGGGGACCACAGGCAATGGATGTGATGAGTGTTAGCAAGGAGAGAGGGTCCAGAGAGAAAGGAGCCTTGAGCTAGTGTCGGACTTTTCTGAGGAAGTAACGTTGAAATGGAATGCTTGAGGCTCAGCGGGGCAAGGAGGAAAGGTGAGCAGGTGGGCAGGCCTCATGGAAGGAACTCAGGGAGCTGGGGAATGGAAAAGAGGCTGCGAGGTTGGGTATGGGGTAAGAGGTAGGTAGGGCTGGACCTTGTGGGCCTTCTAGACTGTATGCCAGGAAGTGTGTGCGTGCTCCGTTGCTCAATCTGAATCTTTGCAACCCCAAGGACTGTAGCCCGCCAGGCTCTGCTGTCCATGGGATTTTCCAGGCAAGAATACTGGAGTGGGTTCCTCATCCAGGGGATCAAACTCTCATCTCTTGTGTCTCCTGCATTGGCAGGCAGATTCTTTACTGCTACACCCCCTGGGATAGGGCAAAAGCCATGAGCAGTTGTTAAAGGACTTCAGACAGGTGTGGAGATAGGATCTAATCTGCCACCTTCCCTGCCCTAGGAAACAGCCTGGGACAAGAGCAAAGGCAGGTGACAAAGCCCTGGATCCCAGGCCAGGGCACTGAGGAGGGGGTGAGAGGAGCCATCTCAGAGCCTGGGGCCCACTAGGCCCCATCTCTGGCTTTCTTAGCAGCCACATCACTTAGGGTTGGAGTGAAGCCTCAGGACCGAGAGAGGAGACAAGGAAAGAAAGTTCAGAGTATGGGCTTCCCTGACCTGCAGGCCCAGGCCCTACACTGGTTCATATTCCCAGCCCAGGTCCAGGAGCCCCAGCTCCAAGATGGTCACTTCTGAGCACCCCCCAGTACGCTCCCCCCAACACACACCCCCAGGATGGAGCAGAAAGAATGCACTGGAGGCAAAGGAACAGTCAAAAAAGGAAGAATGCAACCAGTTGGAGCTGGGACTGGGCGGTTTATTCCCCCTCGCCTTCCCATACGTGCGCTGGGTGCAGACAGGAAGCAGCTGGAACCAGCTCCAGAATTTTGCAGGCGGGGTGGGTGGGGGAGAGATGCCCGTGACCACCGGCCGTCGGGCGGTGCCGTTGGTCCCGCGGACTGACCTCACTGCCCAGGCCCGCGGAGCCCCTCCTGGGGTCACATTCCGCGCTGGAGAGCCCCTCTCCAAGGCCTTGGATGGCGCCAATGTCTTTTTAGGAACCAAGGGTCTAATTTTAGTGTCCCGGCCTTCGACACCTTCCTGAAATAGCTCCCTGTTTTCCCTCCCGGCCCTGCCCCTTCCTTGGAGAAGGTGAACCCCCTGCATCCCCGTGATCCGGGCTGGTGAGCGCGGGCCCACGGCCTTGTATGGGTCTCAGTAGAGGGACTCGTGTCTCTGTGGTCTGTTCCCAGTGACCCGACCCAGAGGGCTCTCCTGGGGAGGGCAGCTCAGTGCCCACCAGGCCAGGGGTCCCACCCAGCTCACTCCTGCCCTCTCCCTGTCCATTGGCCATGCTCGGGCATGTCACAGACCCGTGTGGCCCAAGCTCAGGTCCCCAGCCCCCTGGAAATCAAGCCTACTGATCCCCAGCCTCTGCCTGTGGGAACGGTGGGTCAGCAGACACCTTGACCCAGGGGGAGGTTCTGTTTGTCATTCCGTATGTTCTGTGCCATCCTTGTATCCATAACACTTATTAGTAGTATTTTTCTGAGCACTTACTATGGTGTCAAGTGCTTCTCATGCATGATGTCATTTAATCCTCTCAACCACCCTGTGAGGTGGGTGTTACTGTCCCCAAGGAATGGAGCCACCAAGTCGGGGGGCACCCGAGATTGGAACTCAGGAGATCTGACCTCCAGCCCCCTGCTTCACTGTTCCCATGGCATCTCCACCCAAACACCCCCCTGTGCCCTCACAACAGCCCTCTCTCCCCCACCTTAGCTCCAGGCCCTTCCCTGGACTACTCCATTCAGATTCTTCTAGGCTTCCTAAGCAAGCCAGAAAGGTCGTCTTGCCTGCATGAAGTCACATAGCACACTAGTGGTGGATGAAGATTCAACCCCTGAATTCTAAGAAAAACAGGGCGTTTCCAGAAGGAGGCTGCAGCTCCACTAAGAGATACAGATGTGTCGGCCACATCCGGACGAACAAGGTGGTCCCAGTAACCGCTGGGTGTGTACATCTGGGCTGGGATGTTTTCACCAGCAGCCCGCTCCCTGACAGGCCCATGTGCTCATCTGCAGAAAAGTTTCCTAAAGGGGCCACCAGCAGGCTGAGTGATGGGTGGCCAGGAAGCATGATTCAGCAGGCATCTGGGGACACACCCCTGGGGACCCATCGTCCTGCTAGGAAGTGGACACATGAAAGGAGAAAAGCCAGAGAGGCCTTCCCAGGCCTCGTCTTGCTGCATTCAGAGCCCAAACCCCACACCCACGGGTGTCTGCGAGTGGCAGCAGCTCCCTCCTGGGGCCCCAAGGCCCAGCTCCCTCCACGGGCTCCTGCCTGCATGCTGACCAGGCTCAGCAGTGACCAGGGTGGGGTGGGGGGAAGCAGCAGTGCAGTGAGTCAGGCAGGATGAGCTGCTCCCACCCAGGAGAGCACGTCAGGGCCTTGGGAAGTGGGAAGCACCTTCTAACCCCACACCATCCGGCTTTGTCCAAGCAGCCTTTGACTGTCAGAATAGGAAATGCAATTATTGTTTGAGTGGACCTTATGAAACCAACAACTTCCCTTACATGCTGCCACCTCCAGGGTGGGCCTGGCAGATGGACACACATGCAGGGTAGAGGGGGCAATGGGAAGAAGGTGGTCTTTGCTCACGTGCCAGACTTTGAAATGGCCAGAGGGACTAATGATCAAACACTGGTAAGTGGGTGATATAAGGAGCGTACGTAGCAAGTCAGGTGACAGACAGGACCTGACCTTTGAGCCAGGTGCTAAGGATGCAACAGGGCACGTGGAGAACTGTGGGGACCCGGAGCACCTTGTCTGAAGGAGCAGTTCAGTGAGCCTGCGTGCTGTCTTGGGAGCGGACACCTCTATCATCTTGATGCAAAGAGCCAACTCATTGGAAAAGACCTTGATGCTGGGAAAGATTGAGAACACGAGGAGAAGAGGGTGACAGAGGATGAGATGGTTGGATGGCATCACCAATTCAATGGACATGAACTTGGGCAAACCCTGGGAGACCCTGGCACGTGGCAGTCCATGGGGTCACGAAGGGTCGGACATGACTTGGTGACTGAGCAACAACAATAACAAGCTCTATTGTCAGGTGCATAAGTAGATTCAGTCTTCTGAAAAATCTGATTTTTTAAAATCTGGGCCAACATAATACCAGTAAATTGTTTTATATTTGTTATATTATTAATAAATAGTATAATATGATAAAGTATTGTTATGTTTTATTTATTTGAAATTGGAGGATAATTGCTTTACAGAGTTGTGTTACTATACGTATATATATTCCCCTCCCTCCTGCGTCTCCCTCCCACCCTCTAGGTTGTCACAGAGCTCTAAGCTGGGCTCCCTGTGTTATACACCAGTTTCCCAGTAGCTATGTATTCTACACATGGTAGTGTATAAATTATTATCACATTTATTTTACTATATTATTAGTATTTATTTGTAATGATGCCCTGAAAGTGTTAGTCGCTCAGTCATGTCCCACTCTTTCCGACCCCATGGACTATAGTCCGTCAGGCTCCTCTGTTCACAGGACTTTCCAGGCAAGAATACTGGTGTTGGTTACCATGCCCTTCTCCCAGGGAGCTTCCCAACCCAGGGATCAAACCTGGGTCTCCCGCATTGCAGGCAGATTCTTGACCATCTGAGCCACCAGGGAAGCCCATTAGTAATGATAAGAAATTATTATTGTCATTACGATTATTACCACTGAGAGTTTCTAACAAAACGTGTCTGCAGCCCTGGAGAGGGCTGGGGAGACGGCCTTTGCTGTGAAATTATGCTTTTCTTGTTTACAAAGTACATTGTCTGGTGTAATTGTCATCCCAAGCCTGGGAGCAGCCTGGAAACATCTGTTGTGCCCATCTGACAGATTAGGGAAACCAAGGCCCAAGAGACTGTAGCACTTTACAAGGGTCACACAGCGGTGGCAAAGCAGATACTTGGACTCAGGTCTCTCTGATTCCCAGAGGGTGAAGTCTGTGTAGTAAGGGAAGGTAGGGGGGCTGCCCGTAGAAATGGGGGCCACCGCCTGCACTTTCACACCAGCAGAGCTGACCCCACCCAGTTACCTGAACTCCCGGCTCCCTGCTCTCAGCACCCCGGGAAAAGCTAAGGGTGGAGATAAGGTGGCCGAGGTGCTGATGCGGCATGTGACATGCAGATTTTTGCAGCTCCAAAGCCAGCCCCTACCCTCCCTGTCTGGCCAGAGGAATGCAGACGAGAAGGTCAGGTGATGGACAGGGCGTCCATGATGGGCAGATTCCAGTGTCAATCCCAGGGGCTCCGGACTGAGACCTGCCTCACTTCCGAGGCTACCTCTCCACTTCTGCGTTTCGTGTGTCTGACCAGCCCTGGCTCCTCATCCACTAAAGGGTCCTTCCATCATTGAGGCTCACCTGCCTCTTGGGGTCCCACAACTCTGAGGTCCCAGATGTCTCCCACTGGACTCATCTGTTCTCTACAGCAGGAGCAGAAAACTTGCTGTGAATCCTGCCTTTGAGACCAGATGGCATTATTGATGTCCTAAAGGAGACTCCAGAGCAGTTACTTGGAATCCCACCAACTCAACCCATTGATGCAGGAGACTCCAGCCTCAGAACACCCAGGACATAGATATTCTTCTAAAACACCTGTCTAGCAGTTTCCCTTGCTCTCTGCCCATCCTCCCTAGCATAATCACTCACTGCTGTTCCCCGGGTGGGTAAAAGTCTGTCCCAAGTGATGAGGGTCTGTTTGTCTCAGGTCCTGTCACTATCCTACCCTCCTCCCTGGGATCTCTGACTGGCCCTGGACATTCTGCTGCCCCTGCTCAGAAGCAAGCCCCAAGCCCCATGGTTTACCAGTGGGGCCAAACCCAGCCTTTCCAAAGGAGTGAAACTGAACCCTCACCTCTAGGACTACTGTTTTTTCAGAAATCCCTCATCTTTTAGATGTTTTAACTTCATATATTACCACTATGATGTTTGCCTTAAAACATCAAGGTTTTTTTTCTAGAAAGCAAATGTTTTTCAAGTAGAGTTTTTCCCTCCAACCTGCTGTGAGAGAAGCAAGAGTTATTGAATGGGACTTCCCTGGTCCCATTGTACTTGTTTACAAAGTCCAGGGGTTAAGACTCTGTGTTTCCACCACAGGAGTCACAGGTTCAACCTCTGGTCTGGGAACTAAGATCCTGCATGCTGCATGGCCAAAAAAAAAGGAAGTTACTGGAAAATCAGGGTGATGCACCCAGGACTCCCAAAGTGGGGACAGACATGAGTGTGGCCAGTAGTGGGCTTGAGGAAGCAGTTTCTGGGACATTCCTTGCTTGGCCCCCCAGTTCCATCTTACCAGGAGCTCAGTTCTATCCTTACTTAGGGAACGGCATAGAATAGCAAGAAATATAGGCCCCATGCTGGGCTCTGGCTGCTCAAGGGCCACCAACACGAGGCCTGGGAATGCAGAGAGAACAAGCTGACCACTTATTAGGATTTGGTGCTTTTGCATCCTGACCCATTTAATCCGGCCACTAACCTGAGCGTTACCTCCATTCTGGGCTTCCCAGGTGGTGCTAGTGGTTAAGAACCTGCCTGTCAATGCAGGAGATGTAAGAGACGTGGGTTCGATCTCTGGGTTGGGAAGATGCCCTGGAGGAGGGCATGGCAACCCACTCCAGTATTCTTGCCTGGAGAATCCCATGGACAGAGGAGTCTGGCTGGCTATGGTCCACAGGGTCACAGAGAGTCGGACACAACTGAAGCGACTTAGCGCACACACACCCCCATTTTACTGGTAAGAAAACTAAGGCTCAGAAAGATGAAGCAAGTTGCCCACACTCACAGAGCCCACAAAATCAGAGCTGAGATTTGAACTGAGGTCTATGAAACTGCAAGGTCTCTACCCTTGCAAGGCACCCGGCATGACTCTCAGGGGAGACAGGGTGAGATTGGTTCTGACTACTGTGCAACTGATCCCAGACCAGAAGAGAGATGGGGCCTCCTGAACTGCCTAGGAACTCCCACAAAAGGACTAAAATCTATCTCGCTTTATATTTATTTTATTTTATTTTATTAATTTATTTGACTGTGTTGCAGCACATGG